AGCTCTATATCGTGTAAACTTCAAATTTATAAAAAATATTTCTTATTATTGTAGCAGAGCGTGGAGTCATCCCGCAGGTGACATCCTTACCTTGCCAGCCTGCTGACGGGGTTTACCTCTTTGGTCATGTGGACAAGGCGTCCGACCTCGGTCAGAAGGTCCGTGGTTCGAATCCCTTCACGGGCCGCTACATTATACTAAGTATATATTTTTACAACTCAACTGTGACAAGAATAAACCTTCATTGTATACATGTCATAATTGTCTGTGTGGGGGCATCCGCTCTGACGTCATTGTATAGTTTGAAACAAGGGAATTAAAAACATTGGAATTAATGTGCCATTCATATGGCGTGTTTGTTATTTGAAGCTTTTGAAGACCAGATTTCATAGAATCTTTTTTACTCTTTTCATGTCTTTCCTCACATTCGGGAGATTGTATGAGAACAAAAACTGGTTACAATTTGGGTGTGTAAATATACAGGTGGGAAATCTCAATGATACGTGTTTCCTGACGCCAGACGTTGCAAAGCAATGTGCGTAGACAACACGGAAACAAACTAATGGTGTATATATAAGCCTACAGACAATACAACAATAGTGTACAGAAAACGTCACAATCGGCGTGGGTCAGTATCTACGTACGGTCATACATATAGTTTAATGGTTTTCAAAATATTCTCTTTGCGCATATGTGTTACGTAATAAAAGCTTCGCCACGCAAGTCGGAAGAAATATGCACATGACCCACATTGAGTCTAATGTAAACGTGGGCCCACTGTAAACATCGCTATGACAAGCGTTACTCCCATAAAAGGCCACATAAACATGATATCTTAAATAGTTCAGAAAATAATCATTACATACAATATCTTTTTTGTTTTGATTTTTGTCCCGCAATTTTTTTTATATCACGAGACGATCGACTTCTTCATGGAACGCATGCATTACGAATATATAGAATTGGATGCGGAATAAGCTAGTAAACTGAAATCATCTTTGAAACTTTTGGGACAGATAAAACAATTCAGGGTTGGCGAATGAATGAGTGAGTGAGCGGCAACAGCAATATGCCACGGTTGCGTTGCCTGCATGTAATTGCATGGCCCGTTAAAACCCCGGTTTAAGCAAACCAGTTTGGGGGTGCCACACACACACACACACACACACACACACACACACACACCTCAACTCCACCCCACCCACCGAAGAAGTCGTTGTTGGAGAAGAGCTTCACACCGAAAAAGATAGTGAAACTTGTCTCCAACAGCAAAAAAATGGCATAGTGTACAGACACGGTCTTACGGTAACCCTCGCCATTAGCCAGTTTCAATTGACAAATTATCATTAAAATTTGGATGTGAGACATTTTAAAAGTGTTGATAATATAAACCTTTTGAACTTGATAAAATATATTCTCTCCACTTTTGAATACAATGTGCTTTAAGAATTCATGCTCAACCATGACGTTGAGCAAACAGATTGATTTTTGAATACGTCTGATTATTTACTATTTGTTTTACTGTTTCTATCCATTAAGGACTCTTGAGAAACGTGATGCATGGTCATGCGTGCTTAAAGGGAATTTTTTATTGATCTGTCACGAAAATAAATTTCAGCATTGAAATTTCATGGCATCCAGCGTACTGCAATGGGGCATCCGGAATACCACTCAACAGGGCTCGGTGTGGGGGATACCAAAAGGGGGTTGCAACCTAAGTGATTGGGGTACGATGGCACACACTCAGACATGTAACACACTGACCACCCGATTCTCATAGTAGACTCTTCCGACAAGCATGGGGTATACTTGGGATCAGTTCTTCACCGGAAACCCCGAGGGGATGTCTGGTGTTCGTTAGTTCCATGGTACTCGACAACACCGAGGTCGATTTCAGTCCCTATAACAGTCAAACGTGCGCCGGAATCCTGCGATACAGGGTTGGGCTCTAATGACAAATAAATATATTTACGAGGCCCAAAATTACAGTTTGAAGTAATTAGGACAACTACTAAGCAACAACGTCAATTTTCACTGTTCGCCTATCTATTCAAACGCTACACATCAACACACGAACAATAAACGACCAAAGTACTCGGTGAACTTGGCGTGCACTATAATCAATAAATCGGCATGTTCTTTCAATGCATGAGAAAAAACATTAACTATTATAGTTCAACTGCATGCTGCAGATGTTCACTCTTACGCTGAACTAATTATCGGAACCATCCTATGTCGGCTAAGTCTACAAGCTAGATATTCTATGTTAGCATTTAACCGCCACACCTCACAGGTAAAACTATAAACAATGGACACATACGGCACCACATTGTGTTTCCCGGCCGTTAAGCTAGTTCAGCTGTGGCGTTAGGGTCGATGTAGGTAATTATTCGTTTACCGATACCAGAGGAAATGTGTTTTTAAATTAAAATTGTTTTGTGGATCTTTATCTGGAAGATAGGTATCAGAAGTGCGACTATAGGTATGCACTAAGCTCAGTGCTTGATTTATTTGTAGGCCTCGACAGATAATTCAGTTCACGGTCAGCTAAATAATTATTTTAAATGTTCTTACTGGGTAAAAGACGTATTTGTTTATAAGATATATTTTCTTTCTGTAAAGAAGAGGTGAAATGGGATTTAACATCGCGTTCAAGATTATTGCACTTATATAGGTAAGTGCATGCACCTGTACATCCTATTCAGACACACGAAAACTGATTTCAGGCCGACAAGTTCTTGTATTTTCCCCTTAATGTCGAGCGCCAGACAGGGTAACAATAAGTACCATCTTTTAAAGTCTTTTGGTACGACGAGTCCGGGGATCGAACTCTCCGGACAGAGGCTCTATCCACTGTACTAAGGGGGCGGTGTTTCTGTAAGTATAGTCACCGTAGCAACAAGAAATTCGTTTTGAATATAACTTTATGAGAATATTGTAAACTTAAACGAAAACGCGAACAAATTAAACCACACGTTCATACATCTGAGAAATCTTTAACATCAATATTTATTTACTTATAATATCCGACAAAGATGAATTACCAATCATTTCTCACTTTCCCTAATATTTGTATATGAGTTTTAATTATTAACGTGCAATATATTGTCAACTGAATTTGTATTGACCGACGTCAGATGATTTTTTAGAAAGAAAATAAACAAAGGTGTATACACCCGATTAGGATCGGGTATCTCCCTGAACGGAATTAATTTTAGCAATTTATTCACAGTTATAAATCAATGACAATGATTTGGAAATAGGAAGTATTTTAAGGAGAATGGTGTAAACATCACGCTGTACTGACAAGCATCATCATCCACACTGCTGTACTGTGCTGATGGTGTTCCCGGCGTTGACTCATTCGACCGATGCAGGCAGCTGAGATAACCCTAGTCTAAATACGTTGATAGAATACACGTAGATAACGATGGAGGTACATGTATATTTATCTCAGTCAGACATCACCCAGTTACCACTATTTCAAGCGCGCTGGGGTAAAATAGTTGTGGAATGAAACTGCACCTGATATAGTTTAAATAAAGTAAATGAATAAAAAAAATGAAAAGTTTATCCTGGTTGTTGATAAAGTGAGAAATGTACGTGTAGGTTATCACGCCTATCGCAGATGCAGCAAACTACAAACAGGAATACTATACAAAGAGGGTCTATACAGACTCCCTGCTATCAGCTTTCCTCATTCGAATCTTTTAATATAAAAAGTCTGGACACTAGCGTTAAGCTATACTGTTCTAAAAAGAGAAAGCGAACTTAAAATAATTATCTTGTAACGCAGATGCGTGTACGGTGCCGCTGTAGCAATTAAATATTACTTATATCTGATCAATGTTTTTTTTCTCTAAGGCATTATTTACTGGCACAATATATCGTCAGTTCTCTGCCGCATACTCACCAAGCAACAATTTGTTAGTTAACTTTCTAAAATACGAAAAGAACGACAATCACTATTGTTATCATCGTAGCTATATTTTACTTAGAACACGTTAACTTTAATTCAGTGCATTGGCATAATATTAGTTTCTTTGTATATAATTCTCAGAAAACATATATATCAAATTCATTGTCTATATTTTCTCAAACCAATATAGCGTTTCTAGTCTTAGCAACAAATTTCAAGCTGAACAGCTGTTGCGGCATACTTATTTTTAACTATGAATCATTCGTGTTATTTAAATTAATAATTACAGATGTTCCAGTTGTCTCGTGTGTATCATGAACGTGTTGAATGAAAACACGCATATTTGTCACATTTTCCTGGGCTTGCTATCTCTAGGTTGTAACCAATGTGCATCAGCATTCTTGTACAACTCACGACATGCACTGAAATTATTTTGATTGATTTTGTTTCTTTAACTTCACCAAGGTGTAAACATAACACTAGATTAACATTAAGTACCAGAAAAACAGTTAACTCATTTAACAATATATATATCGACAAAATAAAACGTAAAATCAAAACGGAGCCCAGAATAATAATTTCTGGAGCAATCTAGACTTGCCAAATCATTCTAGACATGTGTTGGATTCAATTTTATGTTATTTCCTTGGTCTGTGGGAAACAGTTATATATAGTTAAAGTCTAATGATTATTCGTTCTGCGTGTGCATGGCTACACTACCAGATCATGGAGTGTTATGTTAATAAATATTCCCTCTCCCGTGCACGAGCGTCTATAAATACGATTTTCTTCAAAGGAGACATGAACATCTAAAATAGCTATCGACAACAAAAGAAACTATATTTCAATATCACCATACACTGATTAGATTACAGTTATTAAAGTCAGGAGATTGTATTGGCGATGTGAATAGATATGTACATCATGGAAAGACTAAAGCGGCAGTTACTTTACCTACAAATTGAGTGCTTAAGTCATTCTATCTGTCATTGTGAGCGACCGCTTCCGGCAACCAATCAGTGTCGAGGTCGCTTGACACGCGCCAGGTCATTGCTTCCATATATGGAGTCCTCGTCATGGGCTTGCTGATGTCACGCTTTGACCTCCTATAAAGGTTCCACCTGAATCTCGATTTAGACCATAATGTTGAGACTTTACATTAGTCAAGGTATTTCCCAGGGATTTCCCTCAAGGCGAGTATAAAGATCAACACAGCTACCCTGAAGTCAGTTTAACGACTGTCAACCGTAAGAGACATCGTGCTACGAAGAGAGATTTGTGTTCCCACTAATCACATGACGTATTTACCTGTAATGATGGCAAGTCACGGCGTACCGCTACAGCAGCGACGGGGCAGCGCCACCCTCACACCCCTCGTCCTGCCAACCCGGGGGTGCGGGAACGGCGTTAACGCCCTCCCCAATGAAGACCTGGTGGAGGAGGGGAAAGAACTGTTTCATAATTTCGTTTTGGAGGATATTCATCGGGAAGAAATGTCGGTTGAGGACCTGACGGCCCAAATCAGGTTTGTTTACAAATATTACTTGTTGTTAAACACAAAAGAGGTGGGAATAATTAAACGTGTATTTAGATCATAAATAATAATAAAGACTGTGCCAGGATCACCCATACCCTCCTTACTGCATTTTTCTTTTAATCTAATAATAATAATAATGATAATAATAATATTTTTTGTAATAATGCAAAATTAGTATCATTATTATTTACAATAAACATGTAAAAAACGTTAGTATCACATTCGTATAAACCAGTGTTGAACATTTATCTTGAAAGTCATATCCTTGTCATAATCCAAACGTTAAAAGACAAAAGAAACGGGGAAGGTTCTTAAGCTTCAAAATTTACAGGCGCAAACTTAAAGGACCCCAGAAACCCTTCATGGTAACGCTGCAACGATTCGTACAGCTGTTCGTCAAGTACAGTTGTATTAATTGTGTTCGCCACATGACTTACGTGACATCACCATTAGCTGGATACTGTTATTTTTCGGTGCAGATGTACTTTGCGTGTCAGTCAGTGCAGAAAAAACACTGCATACCATTAATTATATTCAGAGTGTAGGAAGTGCAGTGTATAGATCTACAACACTGCTATCCTTGTGAAGCAGACTGTTGTGTGGTATTGTCATTAGTCAGTGTGCGATATGAGAGGAGAGTCTAAAATAACCACCACTCGCTCTACAGTGTTGATCGATCGTGTTACGCGTTGGGTGTCAATGTAACTCTCGTGTTGTCATGGCTCTGAGAGGGGTTATGTATTCATAACGTGACATTCACAATGAATATCCACACGTGAAATAGCTGGCATCAAATAGCCCAATTGGCACCTATATATATTTTGTTATCTGAAAATAGGGTAGCAGATGTCTATAGTACTGTCCTGCATTAACTGATTAAACATCCCGTTTTATGTATATATATATATATATAAACGTCACAGATAAAGCGCGCATGTATAGGAGGTATACATTAATCAATAAAAAAACACAACAAAGTTGGTGTATGATGCACACGTTGGGGCGACCGACTCAGATTAAGTTCCTTTTGTATTCGTGAATATGTACAGTCAAACCTCGGAATATGAAAGTACACATTCCCAGAGTATCACGAATAATTTGAGTTACACAAAAAAGTTTATTTGTTGTTTAACGCCGCACTCGGCAATATTCCAACTATATGACGGCGGGTACACATTAAAGATTTAGGCTTGACTGTTAATGTTAATATGGAAGTAGAGACCACGCATGGGAACGGCCTCTGTATTCACGTGGTCTCACGTGTAACCCCTGACAGAAGCTGAGAGAACTTACTAGAATGAACACTTCCTATTGCAAATTGGTAGAACGCAACTCTGACACAGCTCGTGTTCATGGCTATGGGAAATAATACTCTTTAGAGGCTGAAATATTGACAAATAATGTCGAAATTAAGTTTCATATGATATCCTATTCAGGAAACTATGGATAACCAGGTTTTCCTCTTGTGTCATTTTGTTACAATGTTGTGTGCCATATAGAATGTCTTTGTGTGACTTATACCTACGTCACATTGTGTCATGGCGACGTGCATCCCTTTGTTATTATTTGTGTCTGTATCATCGGTGATGAGATCCGGTTTACGTACAACTACTTCTCAGTATGTTGTTTTCTGTACTCACTCAAGTAGGTCACAACACACCAGGACTTCGATCGTTATTCTCGAGAAACGGGATTGTTCAGGACGATCCCAACACATACGTATAATGCAAAACCTTCGCATAAAACTCTTTTCTTGGAACATATCCATAACCTTTAATTGATATGATTAACACGGGGCGAGGGTGTTGTACGAATGGTGCGCTTATTGTACGGGTCATCAAGTCCTCGTTAACTGGAATTCCGGATGGTGTATACTACTCAAAAGATGTTAAAGAACATCCGATCTTTTTCATATGACTACCGTTAAGCTATGTATCATATGGGAAAAGCAAATGTTCTTTGGCTTTTTTTCGAGTAAATTTTTTGTCCCGACTGAATCCTTTTCGGAACGGTAGTTTTATATCGCACTTCGCTTGTGTCAAAGTACGGATGTCTCGACGCGTATGCAGTGTTATATAGTATTTCGAGTTAACGAGGTTCAGTTGGTTTTACGGATGATGATGATGATGAATATTTCTATGACTTTTCAGATAAAATGACGTTTTATTTTTATTTTTCAAATATTTTTGTTTGATTAAGATTTATCCTCTATTTAATATATTATTTTCCAGCACCCCAGCCGGTTACAAGAACCCAATGTGGGCGAAAACTGGGCGTGAACTGCGCCACATGGCGGATGAATTCGCTAAAACCAAAGAACGGAAGAGACTGGCGAACAAAGCTGCTTCAGTATGTACCTTCTACCGTACAGTGTTCCGTCACCTGAAACGAAAACTGAATCATATATTTGAGATGTTGTGAAATAAGAGGTACGGAAAACTGACATAATTGTTTACACATTAATCTTTCTTTAACTCAATATATTTGCTACAGGGAATATAACGGTATATATTCGAATATGAAGTTTTGATACCACATGCATTCATATCTCATACCAGATACTATCAAAAAAAGGTCCTCACATGGAAAAGGTGGTTAACGCCCGATGTATTTTTGTGTCTTACGCCATTAGGCTGAATGCTCCGCTATTCCAACACAAAAGAAATAATTGATTTTCTCATCAGATTGGAAAGTGATGGCGGTGTATTAAAAGAGTCGCGTTGTGTAACGTGTGTCACGGGTTAGGAATCTCAACAATCTGAGTATTGATTTTTGGTATTAATTATTTAATCGGTTCGGACAAAAGGCGACTGCCCTTCATTAGTACGTGGACTATAAAGTGGATGACACATTTCATAGGTGACTGCAGAAGCGGGTGTAAACTCATACCTGGCATTTACGTTACATTTGATTCGTATTCATGCATATTTCATTGGTTAAAAATCAGTTGAGGTGTAATTAGGAGATATCATACCACATGTGTTTTCAGTGCAGAGCTATAGTTTACCTGTAGATTTCACCCGCGTTAAATTGAATTTGGAACCGAACGCGCAGCGTGAGGTTTCAAATGCGAAATATAGTGCGGTTAAAGCTACAGATAAACTAGCTACATTGTAAACACAGTATGTTTAATTCCATTCTGCCATGACTAAATAAAACGCGAACTCTTTGGTGTAACAAATATATTAAGTGAAGCGGCGTGGGTTGAGTCCAGTGTTTTGAGTGGGTTGTTAATCTGAATTACGGAATTATCGACAACTGCCTTTAAACAAAATAGAATATTAATAATGATAAATCAAATAAATTGTATATTATATGCAATTGGGTATTGGGACTGATTATTTTAAGCAGCTTTTAAGTTTAAAGGAAATAGGAAAGTGATATGCACTTAACTCCTGTTACGAATGAATTAAAGGAAAATGTTAAAAAATATCGTGTTTCGTCTCTTCCAGGTGGACATCAATTTGGTAACTTTCGAACAATTCCGTGACCTGTTGTCGGAGCTGTTTCATCAGGACGACTTCACCAAGGAACGGGTGATGATCCTGTTCTGTTTCTGTTCGGACTTGGCTGTCCGAGGGCTCAGGATTGGCGTGGAGTTGTGTTGCCAAGTGGTCAGCTGGTCACTCCGATTTATCACTGATACAGTGTGCTCAATTATACAGACGCTGGGAGGATGGGTTAGTATTCAACATTTGTCGTTTTGTGTTTTGTGAAGATTGTATATTTACCATTATTTTTCCAATTTTAAATACTTGCGAGGATAATACTTTCCTCACCCCCTCCCCTATCTAAAATACACGTGGCTGTGACGATAGATATTTTCGCTCCCACAAACCCGAGTTTAAATAGTTGTAAGGATAGATCTTTTTAATCACCTCTATTTCAAACAGTTGCGCGGGTAGCATTATCTTAACATCCTATATCAGATTATGATAATAATTGTTTTTAACATTTAAATGTTGGCTATGAAATAAATATTTAATTGTGATTCGTAATATAAAACAGTACAAGGTATTCATATAGCACAAACACGTCGAACCTATCACGGTGGTTGCCATTTATTCAGTTATTGTCAACATATCTCACAAAAAACAATAATCGTACTGATAACTTTCAAAGGCTGCGCCTTCTAACGTTTCAACAACCATTACAGCAATGCGTTCTTTACTTCAGAGCCAGGTGGTGTGTCGGAACGGCGAGGGTCCCCTAGGCTACGTAATGGTGGCAGTTGTCGCCGTGGTGGGGACAGTCCTCGTCATGAGGTACCTGAAACAGTGAACGCTATGAGGTCACACCTGAACCCATGACTCTTTCATTCCAAGTTGATCTCAGACGTCCAATGGTGCTTCGACAAACCCATGTGTTCATCACACCTCCAGCGTCGACTGGGGAACACAACGCACAAAAGACGCTTACCCACTTTACACATGGTCAACGCGAACCTACCTCGGACGGCTCAGGAGCCAGTGTCTATTTCAGTGTTTTACCATGTGGCCTCAGAGTGACAGTCAGACTGAAAAATGAGGCGGTTCATTAAAGACATATTTTGTGAAGATTTATTTTTACAAAAACAAAAAAATAATAAAAAGACCAGATGAGACACTTTGAGGGAGGAGTTGAATGTCACTAACACGTGACAGTCATGTCACGTGATATACCACGTGGTTGCACGCCAGGAACTTTCATGCATATGGGGGTTAACACCCGATGACCTACCTATAAACGTTGCCAAATTAAAACGTTATATGGTATTACATGATGCGAAGCATCTTTTGACTGTGTTCACTTTTATTTGTGTGTGTTCTTTTAAAATACATGTGATCAATCATAATGTGTAGATTGTAGTTCTCGTGTACAAGCGTTTTTCTTTTAGAATGGTTTTTGTGTGCAATAATAATAAAAATAATAATAATAATCTTTTCGTCAGAATCCACCCTTTTTTGGTTTCAATTGATACTTGGAGGGGGGTTGTTGTTAAATAAGCTATAAAATGGCAACCAGTTAAAATATATGGAAATACTGAACCCCTTCAGCCCTTAATGTGTATACAATCTGGGACAATGACTAAAAGAAGAACTATCATGAGGAAAAAATGCATAATCATCCCACAGCCCCCACGACTGACAACAAAATATCCGACGAGCAAGTGTATGTGTAGTTGGCTACTAGTTGCCTTTCCCTGAAATCACTGAACATTCCTATTTATCCACAATAAACATCAATGAAGACAACATCAATCAAATATTGTCAGAGCCCAGTAATTTGTCTGAATTCACAATGAAATATTTGAATACATTTTTTCGTTCAGTGTCCCGCACAATTAATGATAACCAGGAAGTCATGCATCAATCAGGAGCAATATTCAAACCCGGCCTTGGCTGTTGTGTCCACAAACAGTAAATCAAACGCTGTAGCTTTTGGCAACACCTTTCTATTTCATAAGTCAATATATGAATATGTTACGGAGGTAATATATTTGATATCGTTTAGCCTAGATATACATGTATTGTCAGTTTACATTCTTTGTGTTTGAGTTGACATGAATGTGATTTTCATGGCCAGTTATTAACTGAAGTCTAGTCGTTACTTCAATAATTCAAGTCACTGGTTACACGTGTATTTATAGTTTAATGTTCATATCAATGTGGTATTAGGGAAGTGACTGTATGATGGGAAACCCATGTATAACATCTTTTAGATAAGACGAAGTAGTCTGCAAAACATAAGGTATCACTGTTATCAGAGCTGTGACCTAAAGCGTCACTGGAATTCCGTGACGTGGTGTGACGTCATATGCCAAGGAATGACGCAGTCGAACAGTGACTATTTTAAGATCTTGCGAAGTTAATTGTCAACATTTCAATACCATGTTTCATCATCACCTGTCGCCAATGTTTTTACTCAACATTCACAAGCCAACAAAATACCAAAATATATTTTTGTTGTATTCACTTTTCTAATTTATTTAACTGTATTATGTTGCTGCTGACAATCCCATGTATTACTTCACTTGTATGTCAGAAACTCGATTGTTTTGTGATGTTTGTATAATGCTCAGAATGTTTTATTTTACAATCTTTTGGAATAAAATATCTAAATGATTAATAATTTCGTTCATTGGCCGGATCGAGGCATCTGTGTTGTATCAGCCAGTCCAGTTTCTGGGTCTAGTGGGGGGCACGGGTGGCCCAGTTGTCTAAGGTGCCGCGATTCGCTGTGCAGAGTTACGTCCCTTGGGCACGCCAGAAACCTATGATTGTGGGTTCGAATCCCGGTTCGGCCGAATTATGTTTCTAGGTTTGTCAGCACCATACCTGTATTCTTATCACGATATGCTGCACGGGATTTCCAAACTTTACACGCAAATCCTGCACGAGACAAATAGTGCATCTCAGGTCATGGAACTATGACGTCACATGTGATGCGCCCATGAGCGTTGGTTCATGCGGCATAGCAACATAACAGTATGTTCGTTTGTGCATCGGACCACAGTACCATGTAACTAATAATGGTAACAAACAAACTCGCAGACGAGGCGATGGTATTCGCGTTTTTAAAACAAAACAATAAAGAAAACCGTCAGAGATCCTGATTATCTGCGTATTTCCGTAAGATATGCAAATTATAACAAATCACCGTCACCCAAATATTCATTTTAAGTTGAGTGCAAATTAGCCTAAAAAAAATATTTAAAAAAACCCAGCATGACAACACTGCGAAATTACTTCTTGTATCTTCATTTGCTGATCAAATGCAGACATCACACATGAACCCTGGGCACAAAACGATTTTAGCGCTAAGACTATCGTAAGCCTATGGGAGTTACGATCATCTTAACGCTAAGATCGCTTTCTGCAAGTGGGCCCAGGTCTACTGCTGTGAATAATGCATGTCCATAGCTGTTGCAAGTTTGCGCGAGATGTACATATATAGGGCAGGACAAAAATTAGAAGTAAAACCCAAGAGAGTTTCATTATATTGAATACTCGAAGAAAACTACAAATGTCCCCTTTGATAACGTGTGAGTAAATACTCAAAAAAATATCTGGAGCCCTGATTTTAAAGCATAATGAGTAAGTGAGTGAGTGAGTTAGGTTTTACGCCGCTTTAAGCAATATTCCAGCAAAATCACGGCGGGGGATACCAGAAATGGGCTTCACGCATTGTACCCATGTCGGGAACCGAACCCGCGTCTTCGGCGTGACGAGCGAACGCTTTAACCACTAGGCTACCCGCCCGCCCCTTTAAAGCATAAACATTTGAATATTCCAATACAATAACTCATTATGACACAGCTCACCTTTTTGTTTTTACCATAATCACAATACAAATTAATGAGTCTGGCAGCGCTTGTCAGACAGTAATTACATTTGAAACTTTAAATTTAACTTAAGCAAAATTGAAATATTCTGCAAACCTTTGATGTAGAAATTATTCATTAAGAGGATTTTAATGCATTTGGAGAACACCGGTGAAGAGAAATTCGATATACCCGCGGTTTATAACATTCATAATTTGAAATATCTCTGATATTAATTTGTTTTCTGATGTAATGATGCTCTGGTTCTAGAATCTGCTGTACAAATCTACCATTAGTAATATAATACAAATAGCAGGTATTTAATAACTACGTTTTAAAAACTCAGTGAATCAGCCACGTAATATTAGTTTCTGCACAAGCCACCAAGCAGGACAACATCGTGTATCAACATGTCTCAAACAAGGAAGTGATAAGCCTTTTTGTTGCAGCTGGGATGATGTCACCCAGTCAGCACTTAAAATAGCTTTAGGGGATTCCCCACGGACGTCCCAAGCCTCCGTGTAAGCTCCGCACATCTAGCCATGCGCAGCGGGAAGCTTCCGAACAGCTGGACTGCGGGGCTGAGTGTTGTGTGTAACCGGTCATGCAATGAACATCATAATCTATCAATCTCATCTCATGTTGTTGAGAAAATTGCATCCCGTGAAAGAAGTGTGCCATGTTGAGAAAATAATCCAGTCCTTAGGGTAATATTGAAAATGAGTCTCGTGGTAATCACTGGCATTAAATGTTATAACCGTTGGATCTGGAATTATGAACGCATTAGCTTTTGTTTTCAAAGAAAATGTTGCAATATACAGAAATAATGATAAAGTGACGTTTCAATGTGAGTGTTATGAGAAATCAAAATAATAGCGCAATATCTACTACCATGATGGTCGATTTGCAGTTTTACTTTGGAAGCATCAATTTGATTTGGTTTTTTTCTTTAGCTATATAAAAAAACTATTTATTCACTGATCACCATCTATTCATTTTCACTATTAACACAAAACGTTTGATGTTTGGGTATTTCCCATTATCTTATTATTAATTTGATTTCAAGAAAATAGTTATTAATAAAATAGAATTGAAAATGCAAAGAAACTATCCCCACCCCGCCCCTGTGTGATGTACGTGCAATATTTTCCCTGAGCTTTTTGCACGGGCACTTCGCTCGAAGGCAACACCGACAATGAAATGCAAGTTCTGTGGCAAGTATATAATTCAAACAGGATCAACGCTGTTGCTGTTGTCAATGTGGCATATGTGTAAAACATCGTAGAAACGATAGTTGCGGTTTCGTGGCGGTTGTAAAGTGCCTACTAAAGCAGAAGAATCATCCCTAAGTAGTCAGTGTATTATAGGTAACCAGTCCTGCGTAATGACTTTGGAATATATATGTATTCTCTGAAACCAAAACCATGTCTGGAAACTTCATTGTCAAGTCCCCCCTCCTGTGGTGGTTCATTCACCAGGCTACATGTACAAGGCTGCAAGTTCGATCCAAGTGAAAAAAGTAGCATTTTACATCATTTTCACATCTCCTTAAGTTAGCATTGTAATGTGTTACGTAGATTGTATTCTCTAACGAGAGACTTCCAATACATTATCCATACAACAGGACTTTCTGCAGTACATCCGCGGGGCAGGGAGACTTTCTATAGAATATTCCTGGGACTGACAGAAATTCTGTAGAAAGTCCCTGCTTTCGACGAAAAGAAGTCCCCGTGATAACAATAGGATGACGTTACTAGATGTTTATAACTTGCTATAGTCCATGATTATTTTGCGTACGAACATGTTGGACATGATCGTCAAGACAATTTACATTGTTACAATTTAACACAAACGTTTTGCTCTTAAACTTAAGGTCAGGTAAGGCAATCGATTATGCGTAAATTTGTATCGATTTTGTTTTCAATAGCAAAAAAACATGAAAGGGTACTGAACTAAAACATCTGAGTGAGCTGTCAACAAGCCGGGCGGACTGCATGAATGTGCTTCTGACTGCGGTGATATTTCAAGAGAGGATCCAGCACTTTTAAAAGTGTGGGATCCAAATTATCAAAAGGCAATTTTACTCCCTACAACATACTACACTGATTGCGTGTAAGGGACCAAACCATTAAATATTC